TAACTCAGCCTTTGCAAGACTGGCATTTTTTTGTTAGGCTAATGAAAGAAAATATTTAAAGGCAATAATTTTCCAGGTACTTCCTATGTTACTAAGCCTACCTGCATAAATAGAAGGTTGATCCATCATTTTGTATATGAACCAGTTTATAGTTCAGTAAATTTTGGATCAGCAAAGTAGATTTATCTCTATTAGTATGATGGCATTAAGGTGACAACTGTGAAGGCTGTTCCTATCATGAATACTAATGTTTGTCCAGATAGCTAAATCAGGGCAGACAGAACTAATTCAGCTTCCTTGAACTGTTCAGCATCTTCTGACAATGCAAACGCAGTTGGCCTTATTAGCAGTTTTGCAGAATGCGATTTCTGAGGTACACTGTTGTTTTTCCTTTGGGGTGAGATGGGAGAGGAGGCTAAAGGAAAAAGCGTAAGACAGGTCTAAACTTTGAAAAGGGAAGTGTTAGTGAAACACAATGTCAGATGAGGTGGCTGCAAATGCAGAGGTATACAGAGTAAGTTGTTAGTGGCAGCAGTTGTGCTACCTGGTACAAGGGCAGCAACGTTTCAGCAGTTGTGTATGACAGAGAGGATACAAGAATGTAAATATATGCTGAAAGAGCAAGGGCTGGAAAGTGGGTAGGTGGAACAGGACTCCTTCACCTTTGGAAGTACATCTCCTGAGAACGTCAAAAAATAGAGACCTAAGTTTTTGTGAGGTCATTCATGGTTTACCTGGTCACAAGATGCTGGTGAGATTTCTGCCCTGGGCTACAACTTCACCTTTAAGAGACTCCTCACTGAGTCTGAGGAAGTTAAAAGGTCATCGTGGAAAAGGTTAGTTTGAAATCAGCAAGTCCCTCTGTCCGACTGGTACATCCAAAGACTGTGAAGGATCTTGAATATGAACTTTGCTGCTAGCAGACATAGTCGCATCTTTGCCCTAGAAGGACAGCATTATTTTCCTGCAGTACACTTAGAAAAGGGTTTAGGAACATTCAAGAAATGTGCAAATGAAATTTACATCTGCAGATGTAAACTGGTTAAAGCAAAAACTGAACATGGAATAACAAAACACCTGTAGACTGGGCTGAAAAAATGTAAGTAGGTTGATTCTTCCAGAGGGAGATCATGACTCACTGGTCTCAGAAGTCTTTGGATGTGTCATTAAAAGTGATGGCTGGAATAAAATAGCCAAAATGGTATATGTAGTTCTGAAAGTCAACACACTGCAACACGAATAGGCCCCCCCTTAGGATTTCCTGACAGAAATACCTGCATGTGCACTTTGGCATAGTGGGGATATATCCTCTGCATGAATGATTTGGCAGGTGCAGAAACACCAGCAAATTTAAACAATACATATTTTACTTCTGGTGTTTGGATGGATTAGCAGTGCAGGGAAAAGAAGTAGCCAAGAATTGGTCTGCAAAAGGAAAGACTAAGTAGTCAATTTGCATTAAAAAAATGGGGACAGTGGATTTGCCTTTATGTCACACTTGGTTTAAATATTTTATTTTTTTTTTAACTTTAACATACTGCTGCATAAAATAATTACTGTTGTGAGATAGCAACATTTACAGGTGACGTACAGTTATTTGTATGACTCGGGGCTGTAGAAGGCTTGAGTATTTCATGTCCAGTAGAGCTCAGTTTGCTGGACTGGTCCAGTATGCATATTCTAGGAATAACTAGGAATCACCGGAGGGTTTGGTTTCATGGAGAAGCAAGACACTTGTGTTCCAGGACTGAACCCAACCTTCAGCTCTTGGTATGCTTAGAAAATTGTGTGGGAATTATCCCAGTGCTGTTTGTCACAGTTTTCACTCCGAAGTATATAGCATTAGGACACTACTGGAGACAGCTCTGCATTTGTATGACTTTTAGTCAACTATAGCTTCACTGAAATGCAGGGTTCCTTATGTTTGATCTGTTTTGTAAAGAAATACTGTATTCATGTTGTGTAACTGACTCACACTTTGAAGGTATCGAGTGATTGTAGGTATTTTGTTACCTAATGTAATGCACGTAAAAAGAGTTGAAATAATGAACAGTATAAATGGAGAGGAGAGGAGACAAGAGAACAGAACAAGGGGCCAGAGAACCTCTTCAAATAAGTACTTGGGATTTTTTTGATTACCATTGTTATCATTTAGCTTTTGTATTCAGGGGTTAAAAAAACACTATAGCTTATTACCTTTTTCCAACATTCCCTTAGACCTCCTAGATCTGCAAATACCCTCAAAATAGGAATTTAGGCATCTAAAATACCTTTTCTTCACTGGATCCTTCAGGCATACCCTGTGGCTCAACCTTTTTTTCTGAAGGTCAAGAGAGTTTTATTCATCTGACATAAGTAGTTTGAGTGTGGCATTTATAACTTGAGTAATGTTATGGATAATAATACGATTAGACATTTTTACA